GAGTGCGATACAGTATGTTGTGATATCACATGAAATTGTAACATTTTTGTCAAAGTTTGAACAAATACTACAACGCCATGATTTCTCCTCATAATATGATCTCAACCTAAAACTCTGGAATAAAAGATTGTGAATGATAGAAGTTGCAGACTTTCAATTCTTTTGGAAAATGTAAATATATGACAAAAAGTAACAACTTCCCTTTATGTACAACTTGTCAGAGAAAAACCTGACAATAAAGAAGTGCCATCACATCCAAATACTTGGAGTTATTATTTATATCCTGCTGCTTCAGGATCATGCTAAGCTCACTGAGGTGACTGGAATCTCTGTGTGTTGTGGAGCTTCACATCCTCACACAGTGGAATATAATGGGAAGTCATTACTCATTTCTGTTTCAGAGCCTGAGTAGCATGTTATCGCCTGAGGAGGTTCGTGGCGTGCTGTGAGACAGACTGAAGGTGGGGATGAGTTAAGCCTGTCTGCTCAGAGATCTGCAGCCCAGTGTTTGTTCACATGCAGCTGGACTGTTTGCTCCTTCGGCTGGCTTTGTTTGGAAAGGTGAGAAGCTTGTCAGAAAACTACCTCGTTCAATACCAACAGAAACGGTCTCATTCAGTAAGGTTTTAGGAAAGATTTCAATCAATCAATCAATCAATCAATCAATCAATCAATCAATCAATCAATCAATCAATCAATCAATCAATCAATCAATCAATTAATCAATCAATCAATCAATCAATCAATCAATAAACAACCCACCACCACCAAAAAAAAAATTGAAACCTAAATATCACAGAAATTGAAGTTCTTCAAAGAAATGGACATTACTCACTGCCTTTCATGCCAGGGCTTTAAAGTGCCTGTGACATCAAATTTTTGTGATAAATATGAATGCACTTCTGGAAAGAAAACATGGACAACATTATGCAAAAGCAATTTYACACCACTGAGATGAACAGTTGTTAAGATATTTGCATGTGAAGTAACAGGAAGTGATGTCAAAGGGGAATGTCTGSATGTAAACAGAGCTTTGCTACAACGGCTAACAACACAGACAGCAGGGAATTTTCTGATGTTTCTTTAGATAATTTTAGTCCCTATAAGAGAGAGATGAAGAAAGGTCAGAGATCAAATAATATCGTTTTCATAAACAAAGACCAGGGAGTTTTCTTTCTTAAAGAGTTCCCCTTTGATGTCACTTCCTGTTTCACTTTAGATGAGCCAAATTCAAAGGAAAATATGCCAGTTATGTGACAAAATGGGTAAAATCGTGTGTTTTAGGCCTATTTTCCTGAATATGAAGATATTTTCTTTGACTTTTTGTATTTGAAGAATAGGCATGTCACAGGCACTTTAAACTAAAATCATCTTCTTTTAGGAGGTGACAAAGTTAAAGCTACTTTAGTCAAACCTTGAAAATAAAATCTTTGTGATCTATTAGTATTTGTAGCAAGTGTTGTGACTGACTCTCAACTACTAGCTCATTAAATGTAAAACTGACTGACTCCTAGCCATGCATGTGTTGGCTAAAGTCTATTAGCTGTGGCGGCCATCTTAATTTGGGTAGACTCAAAAAGTTAATGTGGTCTAGATTCACATCCAGTGATCATTTTCTAAGAGTTTCAATAAAATTTATTAAGTGGGTCACAAGATATTTTGCTAAAAAAACAAGCTTGATGTCAAATGGTGAAGCTCAAGTTTTAGGTAATGTGCACTTAAATGTAAAATATGAAGATGACTCTCAGCTACTACCAATATTTGATCTAAGCAGTATCAGGAACTAATAAAGCAAATTATAGAAAAGAAAAAGAAAACTTCTGTAAAACATAACTGTACTCCTGTAAATAAAAGCGCAGCTGATGAAAGTGCTACTAAAATAACCTGTCACAAAAAAAGTGTAAATATCTTCAGTGGAAATCTCACCTGTAAGAGCACAGTCACATTGTGAAGCATCACTTTTCTGACTAATGATGTGATAACACTGTGAGAAATGTTTGCTCCGAGTTATTAGARTGACAGATGACTTCACTTAACACGTTTTAATGAAGCTACTCCGGATCATGCTTTAAAAAAAGAACATCAGCGAAAGTTTTCAGCTCGGCTAATCAGAAAAAAGTTTTGTTTAAGAATATCAAAAAAGTTGTTCTCTTTGTGGAGATAATACTGAGCAGTGAGACTCCATTTATATTAAGAGTGACATCATCAGGGACAATGCAACAAGTGAACATCTACCAGATAAACCTATAATGGATCAAAGAGATAAAAACAAACTATTAAAAGAATGCTTGTTTGACTCCTTTCTAGCCAGAGATTTACAACTATTTTGACCAAACTTAAAGTTAATGGAGTGTAGATGTATGTCAAGTGATTACTGATCCTTTTCCATTCGTTTCTATAACCTGACTCTTCCATTAAACCTAACCCAAAACCAACATTTGAACTTATGGAGCCAGGGCTTTGGGCCACATTATAGCARGGGGTCCTCATAAAATGGGCCTTATAAGGTATCGAATGAAAGAACATAGACACACACACAGGCACGTTATTATCCTTGTCTTGGAACAGTGGACCTGATGTTTATACCTTTGCAGAGTTGCTTAGGTGGTTGTGGGAGTACGCCTCTCCTGTTCACGTGTTTTATGGACCTGGAGAAGGCTTATAACTGTGTTMCTCGAGGCATTCTGTGGGGGGTGCTGCAGGGGTATGGAGTGTCTGGGCTGTTATTAAGAGCTAATCGACCCCTGTAGAACAAAAGCAGGAGCTGTGTCCTCATTCTTGGCACAACGTTGAGCTTGTACTCAGTGTGGGTTGGACTCTGTCAGGGCTGTCCCTTGTCCCTGATCCTGTTTGTAGTGTTTATGGACAGGATCTCAAGGGATTGTGGCGGCTTGCAGCCGAGTATGAAGAGGCTGGAATGAGAGCCACTTCCTCTAAGTCTGAGGCCATGGTTCTCGACTGGAGAAGGATGGAATGGAGAAGTTTAAATATCTGGGTGTCTTGTTCACGAGTGACGGTAGGATGGAGCGGGAGATGAATCGACGGACTCAGGTCTCCTCYTCAGTAATGAGGGCGTTCTTTCGGTCAGTAATGATGGAGAAGGAGCTGAGTCGAAAGGCAAAGCTCTGGATTTACTAGTCTTTCTATGTTCCAACCCATATAGTCACGATGCATGGATCATGTCTAAAAGAACGAGATYCTGGATACAAGTGGCTGAAAAGAACTTCCTTCGTTGGGTGGCCAGGATCAGCCTTAGAGATAAGGGTGAGGAGCTCCATCATCTGGGGGAAGCTCGAAGTAAAGCTGCTGCTCCTCCACATCAAAAGGAGTCAGTTGAGGTGGTTCATCTGTTCATCTGCTTCTTGGACGCAGGTGTTTCGGGCACATCCTTCTGGTAAGAGGCTCCAAGGAAGACCCAGGACTTGCTGGAAGGATTATGTATCCCCTCTGGCCTGGGAACACCCCAGGCTCTCCCAGGACGAGCTAGAAAGTGTGACTGGGGGGAAGGATGCCTGGATTTCACTCCTAGACCAGTTGCCTCTGAATCCCAACTTCAAATAGACGGTAGAAGCTGGAGTTCATTGTTGCAATTTCTTGTGCAATTTTTAGAGCATATGCTAAAAGAAAACTTTTTATATGCAATATTAAAAACATTTTGGTTTTAATGAAAGCTTGATAGTAAGTATTCAATGATAATCTGTTTAAATGCAGATTTTTCTGAAAACCTTTTTGCTAATAAAAGTAAACTAATGAAGCCCACAGGACCAGGATTCATTTTACCAATCAAGTAAAAAATTTTCAATAAGACTCGCTGCATTAGCTTTAGTTCTAGGGGAGAAGGTGTAAAATTAACTAGCCAGCCATGGATAAATGATGTGTTTTCATGGTGCATTTAGATCGTCATTCAAGGAGAAAGAGGAATAACACTTYCCTCTGCCAAAGAGGGAGCAGGCGGGGGGTGCCATGAAGTGTTAAGCCAGAGTCCTCCAGGGAAAAAAAAAACAACTAAGATAGATGGAGTTTGAAAACACCAGATAATGCAAAAATATTTCAACAACATAAATCTTTCTTTTCAAACACGAGGATTGTAGGCCTATTACTTCAGAGACCAAACCTCTGATAACACCTGTGACACAGACCCAATATTCCCTCCCAATCTCCTTTGAACTTGTAGTCTGAGTGAAATTACACATCATAGATTTTTTTTATTAGAAGACCAATGCTTTCTCACTGTAGTGATGAAGGCGATGAGATTGCTAAAGATGAAAAATAAATCTCTCGCCTTATTAAAAAGACAAGTTGAATTGAAAGAACTTAGCTGYCACTGACTTTTATCGTCAATACATTTTGATCCTATTCAAGTCATTTTCAGACAAGTCAGACACTTGATTTTATATAACTTCTGTGTCTGGCTGCACAATTTACAACATCACCAGACACCCAAATAAAGAGTTTGAGATATATATTTTTAGTGACTGCAGTTTGTAAAATACATACAATCAGCTGCTTTTTTTCTTCTAAAATGATTGTCAAAGCATCTGCTGCTGTCTTTTACAATGACATTCAATTCATGAAATAATAATAACTTATGGACAGATTAAGTGGGCTATTAGTCATTATCAAAGTACAATAATGATGTCCCTTTATGTGACAATAGGAGGACGGTACAGGTAGGTTTGACAAAGTATCAGAGAGGTTAAAGTGATACAAAGAATACTTGGTGCTGAGGATAAACAGTGAAGCATATGTGATATTTGGGAGCTGAAGAGAAATACACCAATGACAAATTTGATGGAAAGCTGTTCATCCATGTGGACCATTTATTTAAATGTTTTTATTATTAATGCATTAGCAGGAAAGAACATTTTTTGTCATTTTATGATTTTCTATTTTACTGTGATATGTTTGGTTTAAAACCTAATCAGTTTTTTTTTCAGCTCAGTGTGTTTTTGACACAGAAGAAAACAGTGACAATGCAAAACACATGGGTTACGTTTTACCTTTTTTCGTCCCTGTACCATTCAAACTCTGGAGTGGGTATAGCCACAGCTTCACATTGCAGGGTCCCCATGCGGCCCACAGGTGTCTCTGAGCTCTGGGTTTTCTTTATTGTTGGAGGGTCTGCAAAGTTGCACATACAGTATTAACATCACATCTTTCAGTTAGTACTAAATGCATTGAAAAAGGGGAATGCAAGCTTTACTCGTCTCCCTATATGTACACAATCAGACAGGCCTGTTGCAACAGAGCAGGCAAATCAGCCAATTGCCAAGGGCCCAAAGCTGACCTGGGGACCCTAGACAAGGACTGGTTATGGACAAACTGTGGGAACGATGTGCGTCCCTATAAATTTTATGGTGGTCAATGCAGGAAAGTGCAATGACACTAGCTACGTTTCCATTGCAAATGTGCGCAAAACTTTGTTGATATTATGTTAATGTCGAAAAAACACAGTTTTGCAACTGCGGTGTTTCCATTAAGTGAGAAATGCTATTAAAGTCACGCGTGAATATGTTTGTTCTCGTGATAAGTCATTACAAACATGGCGGCAATGGATGTAAACACATCGCATGTTGCTATCATGACTCTAGCGCTCATCATCAGAGGAGACTTCGGCATCTTTTATTGAGGTTTTCCAGCGACAAGCTCCTACTTGGGAGTGGCTACGTATGCTGTGTTTTTGGGAAATTGTAGTCGGTGAGTTTACTACTTTATTTTACTACTTCTGTGATATTACTACTACTTCTACTTCCTGTTATCTTCTTCGTCGTCATCTTTTTTGCCAGTAGAAAAAGCCGGTTCTTGAGTACGTGATTCCCGTGATGCGAAAAAAGTGTTTCCATTGCAGTTTTGCAAAAAACACCAATTTCGATACGGCCGAAAAACCACCTCATCTTAGCGCAAAAATTTTGTCGAAAAACATATATTTTTTTCGCAATAGACGTGTTTCCAATGAGTAAATTTATTTTCGAAATTCTAATTTGTGCATTTTCATGGTCAATGGAAACGCAGCTACTGATCCTCCCAAAGTTGTTGTCTTGTATCTACTTCTGGCACTTCCTGTCAGTGGCCTCAGGTGAGAGGAGCTTTTCAGCTTTAAAGGGGACCTATCATGCAAAATCCACTTTTTTAGTTGTTAAATGAATTTTGTTGTGTACTTGGAATCTGTAGGAGTCTCTTTTGGTGCTGCAAAGACATCTTTATATTCTGATTGAATCTGGGTCAGACTCTGGCTCCAACATGTAAGGCTGGATAGACAAGTCTTCTCTTGTTGATGTTTTTTATTTAATTTATAAATAAAATGTTTCTGCACCTCTATATAGTCGTAAAACCCCTCTGTCAAACTAGAGCGGGAAGTGGAAGCGGAAGTTTTTTTCTCTCGTTCATTTTTACAATGACGAACACCCGCCGCTTTTTTCTTGGTTGTCCACCGGACAACTGGGAGACAGGATCTGGTTGTCCGAAACGAAAATAGGTTGTCTCGGACAACCTAAACAATGGTTATGTCGATCCCTAAATATTCACTCATTTTGAATTTGATGCATGCAACACATTTCAAAAAAAAAAAAAAGCTGGGACAGGGGCATGTTTACCTCTGTGTTCCATCACTTTTCCTTTTAACAACACTCAAAAAGTGTTTGGTAACTGAGGACACTAATTGTTGAAAGTTTGTAGGTGTATTTTTTTCCATTTTTGCTTGATGAACAACATCAGTTGCTCAACAGTCCGGGGTCTCCGTTGTGGTATTTTCCACTTTATGATACGCCACATATTTTCAATGGTAGACAGGTCTGGGTACCATTGTGGTAACATGTGCAGAATGTATGGCATTGTTTTGCTGAAATAAGCAGGACATCACTGAAAAAAAGTGTTTTGTATGGCAGCATGTTGCTCCATAGTCTGTATGTAGCATTAATGGTGCCTTCACAAGCTGCGTTTCCATTGACCACGAAAATGCGCAAATTAGAATTTCGAAAATAAATTTGCTCAATGGAAACACGTCAATTTTGAAAAAAATAGAAGTTTTTTGACAAAAATGTTTTTGTGATAGGATGAGGTGTTTTTCGGCCGTATTGAAATTGGTGTTTTTCGCAAAACTGCAATGGAAACACATTTTTTGCATCACGGGAGTCATGTGATCACAACCGGCTGTTTCTACTGGCGAAAAAGACGATGACAAAGGAGATAACAGGAAGTAAGTAGCAGTATCACAGAAGTAGCAAAATAAAGTATTAAACTCATCGACTAAATTATTCCAAAAACACAGCATACGTAGCCGCTCCCAAGTAGGGATTTGTCGCTGGAAAGCCTCGATAAAAGACGCCGACGTCTCCTCTGATGATAAGCACTAGTGTCGCGATAGCAATATGCTATGTGTTTACATCCATTGCCGCCATGTTTGTAATGAATTATCGCGAGAACAAACGYATTCACGTGTGACACCGCAGTTGCGAAACTGTGCTTTTTCGACATTAACAGAATATCGACAACGTTTTGYGCACATTTGCAATGGAAACGCAGCTATTGATGTGCTAGTTACCTGTGCCATGGGCACTAACACCCCTAGGCCCACATACCATCAGAGAGGCTGGTTTTTGAAGTTTGTGCTGATAACGATTCGGACAGTCCTTTTTCTCTTTGGCCCAAAGGTCATAATGTCCATAATTTCCAAAACCAGTTTGAAATGTGGACTCGTCAGACCACAGGACACTTTCCCACTTTGTGTCAGTCCATCTCAGATGACCTCTGGTCCAGGGAGGCCGACAGCATTTCTGGTCGTATTAAATTCAACATAACTTGAAAAGGACTGGCAAATCATTGTATTCTGTTTTTATCTATGTTTTACACAACATCCCAACTACAGTGGAATTGGGGTTATACAAGCAGATGTCTTTTTGAATTTCTTTTCTGTAAGGATGTTTAAAAAAAAGTTGTTCTTGTATGGCTTATTCAATTTGATGCAAATAGATTATTTAGGTCTTGCTATAAAAAAATCAAAGATAATTAATACATTTTATTAGATATTATAACATTCATCATGCACACCTAATGACCTGTACTACAAAGGCCAGAAATGCTTTCTAAGTACCAGTAGATTTCTGCCAATCTTCTCTTAAGGATTGGACACTAAGAAATACATTAAAATTGTCCTTTTCCCCTGAACTCAGACCTGGCTCAAGTATAATTTGGGCAAAAAGCCCTGTGTGACATGTTCAGAACAAACTGAATTTCTGAATGTCTTTGGGAGTAATTAGTTTGCGTTATCTCATGAGCTGTCCATAAACCCTGAGCAGCCACTCTCTATATTATAGCCCTTTGAAAAGATGTAATTATCCTTTTTAGAAATTCCAAGTGTCTATTTAAATGATTATATGGTAGGTGAGAGCTGCCATGGAAGTAACAGTTGCAATCAGTGCCAAAGAACTCATCTTTTTCTCTTTGAAAAAGCTAAAAAGAGCTTCAAAACTTTGAAGATAACTTTACTCCCCGCAATGTTCTATACCTCCTCTTAAATTCAGTTTCAACTTTATGGGCTTTCATCCCTTGAGTGTGTGATCTTGTAAAATAGTGGCATCAAATGTGGTAAGGGTATTGATTAGCAGTCTGTGCTGGAACAAAAAGCATGCACTGCAGTTTGTTACTACTTACAGTTGACGACCACATTGACATATTTGACATCAGGCGTGGCAACGTCGTTGCTGGCCTTGCATTCATAACGACCAGCTTGGTTCCGCATGATGCCTATAATGTCCAGGTACTCTTCTCCATCCAGCGGCTCTGCTGTAGACACACACAAAAATGAGTTAAAAGAGTAACTAAAGCAGGCAAACATAAAAAAAAAAAACAGTCAAATTGGTTATAGTGAAGGTTATAGAGGGGAAAGTAACCAAATATAAAGTTCATTCTTGATAATTTCTTTCAGTGTTCCAACAACACTGAGGAAAAGTTAGAGATCCAGGAAATATTAAAACAACTGTCACACTGCTCTACAAGTTCCTTAAACTGTAGGTAATGCCTCCATGATCTTTTGTGTCCAGAAGTTAAAACTGGCAGTGTAGTCAAAAGTTAAATTTGATTAATTGAAAACATAAATCCATATCACACATATTACAATTGAATTATAATATTATTTAAGGAAGGCTCAACCCACATGAAAAAAGTGTGTTTGGGTCGTCCGTACAAATGTTTTGGAGCTTAGTCTTATTAAACTGCACATTGACGTCATGTCTGACTCTAAAAATTAGATAGTTTTTAGACTGTTCTGATGGTTACAGCAGCAAATGTAGTGTGAACATATCAGTAATGAGGGTGTTGCTCTGGTCTGTTGTGGTGAAGAAAAAGCTGAGTCAAGACATAACAGTCTTAATTTATTGATCCATCTACATTCCAAAACTCACCTATGGTCATAAGATATGGATCATGACCAAAAGAATAAAGTCCAGGTGGATGAAATAGGTTTCCATATGTTTGCGTTACTCAACCTTAGACATACGGTGAGGAGCTCCATCATTCAGGGAGAAACTGGGAGTAGAGCCACAACTAGGTGGTTTAGTACCCTATTAGGAGCCAACTTGGCCCCTACTTCTGGAGATTGTCCCTACAGTATTAAAGAACCCATGATAGACCAGGAACTTATCTATCCACATTGGCCTGGAAACACCTTGAGTTCCCCCAAGATGAACTAGAGTGTCGTCTGGGAAAGGGATATCTAATCCCTCCTGGTCCTGCTGGCTCTTAGAATCAAACAGATAAGCAGCAGACAATAGATAATTGACTATTGTGAAATACACTAAACAAATAAACTAAATAGAACTGAGTCCATGGGAATAATAAAGAAAGGATTTACTCTACACATTGGTGGCAGAATAAATCAACCTATCCCACAGCTACTATTTATGTGATCGTGCAGTATATAACAGATTGTTTTATTGACAAATTAAACAATCCATGTGGAATAGATAGGATGTGAAACTATTTACATTATGATCTATAAAACGGCTCTAAACATTTAGAGTTTGAATTATTTTAGAAGGAATTCTTTTTTTCCTCTATAGGCATTGCTAGCTTGACTCCATCCATCCATCCATCCATCCATCCATCCATCCATCCATCCATCCATCCATCCATCCATCCATCCATCCATCCATCCATCCATCCATCCANCCATCCATCCATCCATCCATCCATCCATCCATCCATCCATCCATCCATCCATCCATCCATCCATCCATCCATCCATCCATCCATCTTTTTTGTCTAGGCTACGAGGGAGCTGATGCCTGTCTCCAGCAGTCACGGTGCCAGAGGTGGGGTACACAGTTGACTGGTCACAAGTCCGTCACATGACCACACAGAGACAAACAAACAATCATTCACTCTCTTGCTCACACTTTGGGACCATTTGGAGTTACCAGTCAAACTAACATGCATGTTTTTGGTCTGTGGTGGGAAACCACAACACCCAGAGAAAACCCATACTTGCACTGAGACAACATCCAAACTCTGCGCAGAAAGTCCCCGGGCTGGAAGTGAACCTGTGATATTCTCACAGAGTAGTGACCACACCCCTGCACTGTCGAGTCACTTTCTCCTCGACTCTTCAAATTGTACTCCCATTGACCTCCATCTAAAACAGGTAACATTTTAACTGCTACAATCAATCTGCATCTCTTTTAAACAAATAAACTATTCTTTTATTATATATTGTTAGAATAACACTTTGCTTTTTTGTTTAATTGTAAGTATGAGGGTTCTGACAGAGATTCTTTGGCAATTTATTTCTAGGACCAAGCTTATATTTAATTTTTTTTTTTGATTTACCAAGGAATTCCTCAATTAAGTTAAAGGTCATACTTCATAAAAAATGAATATTCATCAGTTTGTTTTCCTTTAAAATCCATGTCATTGCAAACATTAAACCACTGTTTGCCTGACAGCTTGAAATGACACTAAACAACTAAAAAGCAATACATTTTTAAATCATTTTATGAGCGAAATTCCTTAATAATGTTACATACTGATAAAATAAAGGAGTTCCTTTAAAACAAAAAGAGATGAAGCTATTGCACATAGGTAAACCTAAATGTGTTGCTTTGATGTACGTTAACTAAAGACATTTGCCATTTAAATTAGCTCTAGCATAGCTTGCAGACAGGAAATGTGAGAGATTTGAAAATGAATCATTTTGGTGTAAAACAGAAAAAAAAAAAACAACGTTTTGTTTCTAGTTGTGTTTTAGATCAAGAGATTTACTTTAATGACAAAACAAATATTTATTTTCCTGGTGTTTTTGCTGGTTATTCGGAAAGATTTGTAGAAACATATTTGATCTCTAGTTTGTATAATAAAAAGGCAGTAGGACTAGTTTCTCATACACACACATCAGTGTGGACCTCCCTTTGAGGTTACACCTATTATTCCACCTCCTACTGTTAGCCTGGCATGGCCATCATTACCAACCAAGCTGATTTGAATGCATTCAAAGCTTTAAAATGATGTCAGCAACGGTAMAAACATACTGTGTATACAGTAGGTTAACTTGAGTGTACAAATATGAATTCAATTTGTCTTTAAAAGAGCTACAGAAAAAGTCACAGTGTGTGACAGTTTCAGATCTGATGGTGTGAATACTGCATACTTTAAAATGAAATAAGTCACATGATATGTCTTTTGTGTCTGGTGACGACATACATCTCTGCGCCTCTCTGTTAAAACGATCACAGAGAGCCACTACTCATAAACACAGAAAGGACTCAAAGCAGGGAGACAAAAAAAGAAGGGGTTTAGTAAAATCCTTTTTTTTTTCATATCTAAACACACTAGACACTGAGAGTTAACAAAAACAATTAAACTCTATATAGAACTCTCTACTTGCATGAACCCTCACACATTTGTTTTACAAGGGTACTAATTTAAATGTGTCAGATCACGCAAAAAAAAAAAAAAAAAAACCCTCAGGCCAAATGAGCTGAACTCATAATTACCTAAATGCTTTGCTTTGTGTTAAATTAACAAATAAATTAGATGTGAAAATGGCAAACAAAAGACCATAGTGCATAAAACCATCCTGACAACTGGTTAATTGTTTAAAAATTCAGCTAATAAGCCACATAAAGAAATGTTCTGACTGGGCATCTAGCTTATGGTAAATGGTAAACGGCTTAAATTTAAGTATAGCGCCTTATCAAGTCCACTGGGACCCCAAAGCGCTTTACACTTCAGACATTCACACATACTGATGGCAGTAAGCTACAGCCACAGCTACCATGGGGCACACTGACCGAAGCGAGGCTGCCATTCACCGGCACCACCGGACCCTCTGAACACCAGGTGAGTGAAGTGTCTTGCCTAAGGACACAACGATTGAAATGGCTGGACAGGGGACCGAACCAGCCACCATCCAGTTCCAGGACGACTCCCCTAACCACTCCACCACAGCCACTTAGTTTTATCTGACTTAGTAGAGATACTGTATGTAGGAGGGTCAAGAGGAGAAAGTGACACACATATGTTGTTGTGTGATATAAACATTTATTTATTTGCTGGATGTGTAAGATTACATTTAGCAGATAATATCATTCCTGTGTTAATTACCACCTGACAGAAAGTGAAACGTTTGTGAATTGCAGTGGCAACAAGTAATCATCTCCTCAGCTGCATCAGTGAAGCCTATATGTAGATGGGAGTCTAGGGTGAATCAAATGTTGTTCTGTAATAATTTCCAACAGACGTTCATTGTCTTAAAAAAATACAAACAATAGTTTTATAATCTGACACTGTGTCCCATGAGCAGATGTTTTTCAGAAATTTATTTTTTACTACAAATATTCATACAACTGAACAAAAGCCAAGAATGTACAATATAATCAGTGCAGATATTAATCTTAAAAATTTGTTTAGATAAGATAATAAGTACTTTGTGTCTCCTCTTCCTGTGACCATTTCCACTCCACAGCAGCATTTTCTTTTCGTAGTGAAACAGTGAGGGCAACATTTCTACTGTGGACAAGGCAGCTTTGCTCTCTTGGTCCAACCACGAGTCACTAAGCAGTGAAAGTCAGACCTTTTGGCAAGAATATAATTGCATCAGGATTTTGGCAGTTTTGTGACACAAAACACACAAAGGCCTATGTGAAAAAAAAAACTCTAAAACCTTTGTTGCATGCTTTTAAATATYAACATCAAACGAATGTTAGGCTAATTTGTTCCTAGGTGTGAGCAAAAGCATGAATGGTTGTTTGTGATGGACTTGTGACCTGTTCATGGTATACCCCGCCCCTCGCACAGTGAATGCTAGATGTAACCCTGAAAGGAAGAAGATAATGGAAGAATGTATGAGAAGGATATTTTGTGACTGATTAACTGCATTTTAGATGCAGTCTTATATCTTATACTTTGCAATTGGTTGTAGTCATTTACTTTAAACAGTAAGAGAATCAACAAGTCTTTATTTAATATGTGCCTTGCTCCARTAGTGTAGGAATAATATTTATGTTCCAATGCTGACACAAGAGGGATCTCCCCAGGGGTGTGACCAAGTTTTCTACAAACAGTGGTTTGAACATGTGATGGGGGTATTTTTGTTTAGACGTCCGAAGTCACAGAGAGGCTCAGAGTGAAATAGATTCTTTAGATCTGAAAATAAACATTTAAGTGAGAACTTARTTGTTTTCAGCATATTACTCTGGCTTCCAATTTGGACAATTTCTTTACAGATAGATGGATACATTGCAGTCTCAAAAACTGTGTCAAAATAATAAACTTAAAGGGCCAATATTATG